TGTTAGCTAATGATATTGTTTACAAACTGCTTCCTAGTTAAGATCACCCATAAGAGAAAATACTATACACAGATGGAGTTGTCTTTTAATTAAAAAAAAACCAGAAGCTTCAATCAGCCATGCATTTCAATTAGACAACTCTTGGCAACCTCCTCAATACATTTTTTCTGGAAATAATATGGAAGTGATATGCCCCTCCTTGCAAGTGCTATATTTTTTTCTTTCTGTACACCTTCTCAATTTTTTTTACCGACCTAACACTTCCAACCCAAGTGCTAACTAGGTCCAATCTTGCATGCTTTCTTAGTTCAACTGAGGTTGGGCAAGTGCTATACATTGGATATTATGATCTACTGACTACATCATTTCTATAAATGAAGTATCTTTCTGTTTTTCCTGATTCAGTGTTTATCTTTACCCTCAAGCTAAATCTAGAATTTCTTTTACAATTTTAAATATAATTTCTATAATATCTAGTTGCTTGTCTTTAATTTCTTATTTATCCCTTTACTATTTCTTTCAGCTTTATGTTTATTCTAAAGGCGAATATGCTGCCAAGACCGTTTAGTTTAGATGAGAATATAAATCAGAACCTGTTCTGTTGATTACAGTTGAAATCTAACATTGTTTATTTCTGAATACAGTGGTTCAGAAATAATGCTAAATTGTAGCCAGCATAGGCAACACTGGTGTACAAAATAAAACAAATATAATGCAAAAAGTTCTGAGCATATAAGCAGCTTGTGTATACCTTCATTTACAAAAGAAGAAATGGCCATACATCTGAGAGTAACTTCCATTAAACTCAATAGGTATGTATCTGAAAAAATACACAGAGACATCACTGTCATTCATCATTACAACTAAGTTTACTGTGGCAGCATCCTTGCCATTAGTTATTTCTGCTGGACATCTTAATCCAGAAGCTTCTTGAGGGGCAAGATTCTAGAGGCGTCTTGGAGGATAAAATCATTCACATACACTTAGCATTGAATACTGGCTGAACAACTCTACAGGAAATAACAGAGACAATGTTCTTTAAAATGATCTGGAAATAATTTGTCCCTATCTATTTTGAGGAAGTAGACAGGGTTCTCTGTCATCAGCCAAACCACTGTTAAATAGGAACCCTGTTTTTAGATATTGGGCAGAAGGAATAAATTTGAGGAAATGTCACTATCAAGACAATAATCAGATAAAAGGGATCTCAGTCCAGGCTACAACTGGAACATTAATTACCTCCATAGTTCTCATAAAGATAAAAGTGAAGGAAGCACATTCAGACTTGGAAGATTCTGATATCCTAACCTTATAATAAAAGGCCTTCATGACTGGTTTCTTAGTGTGCTCTACCTTGAAGTGCTGATGACATCTGCTGAGGAGGATAACAGGAAGCTAGCAAGGATAATGTTTAATGCATCCTTGGGTGAGAGATAATGCCGCCAACCTTGAGCAATATGTCTCATCATCAAGAACTCATTGCTTGGACAACCCTCAACTTGTCTTTAACCTCCCCTTTCTAAATACAATTGTTGAGATTATAATGAATCTGCAATTGTGATGAATCCTGGATGAAACAAATTACTGGAACCCTTTTTGTGTGTTTTAAGGTTAGACATTGCATTGAGATTACACTGATCACTTCTGTGGATGATATATGGCAGAACTGAGATGGAGGAAGTGCAGCCTTCCTGGTCTTAAAGGATCTTTGAGTTGCATTGAATACCATTGACCATAGTATTCTTCTGGATTGACTGCAAGAGCTGAGAAGCAAAGAGCACAGTGTTACAGTGATTCTTTTTCCTGTGACCAGGACTAAATGACTGTAGATGAAGGGGAGAGATCTCTTCATGCGCTTTCCAATGTGGCATGCAACCAAACTCAAATTTTCTCCCATCACCTGTTTTAATATCAACATGAAATTACTCTTCATAACATTATAGCCTTCCTCGACTTGTATGCCATATACTAAATAAATAAATAAATAAATACTATGAGAGGTAATTTGATGCCATGTTTATTACATTTATATAACATCCAAAGGCTAAAAAGGAGATGTAATTGTAATCTATTCTAATGCCTAGAGGCTGTTAAGGCCTAAAAGGGCAGAAAGAGGCTTAGATTCAATCCCAGCCAGATACAGTGACTGTGCACATTCCAGCAGAATTTAATATTTAATATTGAATAGGATAGTTCTCCCTAATACAGAGCAAGTTAATAGTTTGGGGATCATTTTAGACTCACAGCTCCTGCTGAAAAAGTGAATACAGCTTGTGAACAAGGAGGTCTTTGCCCGGATCTCTCTTGTGTATCAGTTGTGAACATTCCCAGTTTAGGAAACTTTGTTGAAAATTACTCATGCTTTTCTCACCTCATCGCTGAACTACTGCCTCTTTTTATATGAGGCTGCTCTTGAAGACCAACAGGAAGCTCCAGCTGCTCCAGAATATAGTGGCTGAAATAATAATGGCCAAGTCACAATTTATCCATGTAACATCATTATCTATGGGAACTGCAGTGACTTGAACTGCTTTTAGGTGCAATTCAAGATGCTGGTCATCATCCTTTGTTAAATTCATTTTCTGCCCATCTTGCCATGGGATCACTCTTGACAGCTTGCAACAACAAAATGGGAAAAAATGATTAAGAAATGTAAATGTAACAATACAAAGGAATAAAATAGTACAATGAAATGTAAAAGATGAGCAGAAAAGGATGAGAAAGTGCAGGGAGGGTGGGGTCTGATAATTAGTCCATTAGCCACCTCCACTCATGTACTTCCTTAGTGGGTTCTTTTTATATCTCAGAACTTGGGTACTTATGTGATTGTCTTCTCTAAGCTGATTTTCCAGTAAGATCTAGTAAGAAAAGTACATTGTGAGTTTTTTCTCCCTTCTTAGAGCACCTTGTCATGAAGGATGTTGAATATTCATCCCTCCTTGGGCAGTAAACTGTCAGATATAAGTTTGTCCCCATTCTCCCTGCAGCTCAATCAAGAAAGGCAAGCCCTCTGTTTTAATTATACATAAAAGAACTGTTCTCTATTATAACAAAATTCTCATATTTTCCTAATAAGAATCATGTTCTAAAAATTAAAAGTTACAACATTATGTAGCTCTATATTTATTTACTATTAAGAGAGAACTATTAATGAAAATTAAAGCCATGATCTCCAATCAACATCATCCTAAAGGAACTTGAGAGGTGGAGAAAGCCTGCTTATAACTTAGTGATGAACATATGAATTAGTCTATGTCAGCAGCTGGTTGTTTATTTTAGCTGTCACTGATTTGAAATTTTAAATCAGGTGAAAACTCCAGGAAAGCAAAATTGTTGGCATCGCATCAACACATTGCTTTGAAAATAGTTTTGAATAAAACATCAGGTGGGGGGGGAGGGAGGATATCCCAATCTACTCTAATGAATTATTTATAATGAGAATCCTTGTAGCTGCTCAACACAGCTAACCTACAGTACATATAAGCATTCCAAACACTGAAGAATTCCATTTGGTTTTTCACCTAGGTAGTTGGATGTTAGAGAAAAATGCAATCTGTTTAATGTCATGTTGATTTAGATGGTGTTTTTCTTGATGTAATTGGCAAAATACTTAAGTTTGCATGCAGAGGAAAATCACATTTTTGTCACCTTTATACATTACCTAGGGAGAACTACAATGCAATAGTTATTCTTTAAGACTTTTTACAAAGCAATTTAATTTTGTGTACAATTTTGACCTACTGCATAGTCTTTTTTTTTAAAAGAAGCGCATATAGGTTGTCCTCATTAAATTTCTTTTTTTCCTTTTTCGCCTTGATTCATTTGATTGAAAAAGTCTGATTTTTTAAAAGGTAAAAAAGATCAATTTAATGCTATCTATAATTTAAATACAGATTATGTCATATACTGAATGTAGTGTATCTTTATGCTCCTGTTGCCAATCTAGTGCCTTCCAGTAAGTTTGGACCCCACTTAATATGTTTAATCATGAGGCTAAGAAT